CAAAGAAAAAACTCACTTAACATAATAAATAAATATTTAGAAATAATTGAAAATACATAAAATATAAATATAAATAATTAAAATAATTAAAAAAAAGTATTTTTATTAAAAAAATATTATTGAAATCATAATTAGAATTTACGATACAAACTCAAATATAAAATATAATCAAAAATTGAAATGTACTGCAGGTAAATGTAAATTCAAACTAACAAATAAATAAACAAATTAATAGATTGAAAAAACAAACAAAATGATAATTACTTTTCAATATAAATAAAAAGTAATTTTACATTTTTATTGAAAATTATTACTTTTCATTTTATTCACTTCATCGTGGAGCGTAACATATAATAATCAGAGATAAAAATGAATATATATAAAAGAAAATCTATATTCATTTCATTTGTTTTAAACAAACTTTGCATGTGTGATTTATTCACATTAAAAAGAGGATTACGTAAAAAAAATATTTTTAAACCTTTGAGTGGATTTAAAAATTTTGATTGTTTGTTTGTTATTCGTACGTAAAATATAAATGAATTTAATTTCAAAGTTCACTGCTTTATTATTTTACCGCAATGTATTTACGGATTGAATATTTCGACAGAAATTAAAATGAAAAATACGTTGGTTTCTTTTTTATTATTGAAGACCAGTTTGTAATAATCACTCATAGTTTATTAACTATGTTTAAAAGCAATTTTCAAATTTTATTAACAATAATTTTTTCTGTTTTTAAAAAATAATTTGACGGGAAATGAATTTTTAATAGTCATTGAATGTGTACCTACTTTTTAAAAAAAAATTGGAAAATTTAATTCTCTATTGAGATTTTTTTCACTGAAAAAATATTATAATTAATTTTAATACAAAAATAATTTAAGATAATTTCGTTTATTATAAAACACTGAGAAAAGAAGAAAGAAGAACAGAAAAGAAAAGAAAATTCTACGAGAATTCAATTATTTAAATATAAAAATAAATAATTTTTTGAATAATTAATTGTTTTTTTAAATTAAATTGAAATTCTGCGATGAGTTTTATTATTATATAAAAAAAATTGAATTCCTAAAAAGAATTTTATTATTTGTGAAAATAATTGAATAGTTGCAAAGAATTTTATTAAAATTTTTTTAAATAATTGAATTTCTAAGAAGAAATTTATTACTTTTAAAAAAAAATTTAATTCTTGTGATGAATATTGTCATTTATGAAAATAATTAAATTTTGCAAAGAATATTTTATTAAAATGCTTCAAAATGGTAGGTGGTCACTTTTTCTAAGAAATATTTTCTAATCCTTTTTGTCTAAAAAAAAGCGATTTCTAATGAAATCTGTTTTCTAAAAAACGTTTTTCTAACAAATTTTGATTTTTAAAAAAAGTTTTTCTAAAAAGTTATGATTTCTAATATTCATTTTCCTAAAATTTGTAAAATTCCATTATTTTGATAAAAGTTAAAAAATTGTTAAAAAATTAAGATTAAGAAATAGAAACTATTTTGCATATTTTCTGTTTCTCAATTATAATATTGTTCACAAACTCATTCTATTATTTTGGGAAAAAAACATTACATATTCCCGTTTTTTCAAATTTTTTTAGAAAATTTTCAATTTTCATAAGGAAATAATTTACATAATTTCTATTTCTTAATTACAATTGTCTTAATAAAATTCAAAGTTTTTTAAAAATAAAGGAAAAAAATGTTTATAAATTCTATTTGTAGGGGAACATAGTCTAGGTCGGCCACCTTTTTGACTTTTGTTTATAACTTTTTTTTAAAAATGAATTTGGACAATTGAAGTATATGGTTGGAAAGTCCTGTTTAATAGGAACATTTTTTCTGTACAAAGTAAATTGACAGGTTTAAAAATGAAAAAGTTATAAAGATTTAAAAAAAAAAAATTTTGTAGTCCAGGTTGGCCATTACAGTCAAGGTCGGCCATGTTTAAAATTCAAAGGGCATTAATCTTTAAAAAATAAAATAACATGTTTGGAGTTACGGAAAATTGATTCTTTATTGTTTACAGTTTGTAACTTAATGAAATAACAAAATAATAACAATAAACAATATAAAAAAATAAATATAAATAAAAAAAAATTTTGCACTAAAATATTAATAAAATTAAATAAAAATATTAGTAAGATGATCAATTATATTATGAGTTATACAGAATTGCAGTTTTTGCAAATGAAGTAGCTCGTCCTCATCTTTGCGCATTTTAAACACATAGTGGCCGACCTTGACAGTAAGTAACATTACCGAATTGTTGTAACCATAAAGAAATACGTTTCGGGATTCGATTTTTTACTTTGTTTTCCTTTCAACCATGAGTCCCACAAATTTTCTGCATACTTGCCTTGACGATTCAATTTGTTTTTTATCTTTTATTAATGGTTTTTCACATTATGCACAAAACTTTTTTTCAGCTTTTTTTGTACCGACGTCACAGAAAACACAATTTTCGATTTTCCGAAAATGTAATTGAACAAAAAGTTAGGTTTCACTAAGACAAGCTTCGACAAAAATGCGCGTAGGTGGCGCTAGTGAACTTGACAAAAAAACGCGAGTGGCCTACCTAGACAGTAGGCCAACCTTGACTACATTCCCCTACTTGAAAATGAAAATTTTTGAATTTTTAGAAAATAAAGAACAAAATTTTACTCAAAAAAATGTTCTGTTACATTTATTTACGAATTTCTTTAATTGAAAAATTATTCAAAAAACATCAGTACCTTTTTTTAAATAAATATTTAAATATTATTATTTTTTCATAAGAAATTACTTCAAAAATTTCAAATTCAAACTTTTTTGAAATTAAACAATTTTTAATAATATAAATTTTATAATACTTAAAAATTTATAAAAATAATTGAATAATTGCAAAGAAATTTATTTAAAAAATTGTAAATAATTGAATTCTTTTCGAAAAATTTTATTAAAATAGTAGATTTTGAAAAAGTAGAAAATTTTTTATAAAATTACTATTTCTTATCACAATTTGTTATAACAAAATTCTGTTTATTTTTGAAAAAAAAATAATTTGCATCATTTTTATATCAAAATTACCAAAATTAATTTATTTATAAAACAGTTTTTGAAAAAATTTTAAATATATTTAGGAGAAAAATCCCTATAATTTCAATTTGTTAATTACGATTTTTAACTAGATTATTTTAAAATTTAGTTAAAAAAATTTGCATAATTTCTATTTCTTATTATAATTTTTTAACGAAATTTCAAGTATTGTTAAAAAAAAATTTTGAAAATTACTTTTATCAGAAAAAGAAATTTTTAGAAAATGACCTTTATTAGAAAAAAGAAAATTGGAAAATTCTCTTCCTTAGAAGAGTTTTTTAGAAATTCACCTTTATTAGAAAAAAAATTTTTAGAAAATAAAAAATTAGAAAATACATTTTAGAAAAACTGCACCCCAACCCTTCAAAATAATTGAATTTTCCGGAATAATTTTTTTATTCATCGACATAATTGAATTCTTTCAAAAAATTATTTATGTAAATAATTGAATTCTTGAGAAGAATTTTATTAAAATCTAAAAGAACAATTGAATTATTTCAAAGAATTTACTTAAAATTGTATTTAAAATAATTGATTTTTTTAGAACAATTTTATTAAAATATTTAAAAATAATTGAATTTTTCGATTAATTAATTTAAAATAGTATTAAAAATAATTGAAATTATTCGATGAGTTTTATTATTTATGAATTAATGATTGAATTCTTGCTTTGAATTTTATCAAAATTTTTTTTTTAAAATTAAATTTCCATGAAAAATGTTATTGTTAGTGAAAGTTATTGAAATATTGTGAAGAATTGTATAAAAATTTTTGTTAAATAATTAATTTTTTCGAAATTTATTTGAAAATGTTATTCTAAATTAATTTAATTACTGTGAAATATTATTTATGAAAAAATTAAATGTTTGCGTAGAATTCTATTGAATTTTTTTGAATAATTGAATTCTTTTGGAAAATTTATTTAAAATAAAAGATATTAAAAATCATTGATTTGAGGAAAATTTTTGTAAATAATTGAATTTTGGAGAAGAATTTGATTATTTATGAAAAAAATTGAAATTTTGACCAGAATTTCTGTGAAGAATTTTATTACTTTTGAAAATAATTCAATTTCTGTAATTATTTGTAATTTCTTCAAAATTTTATTTTTTAAGTGTTTTTAACCAAAATTCTTCTATAAATCCAGTATTTTTAAAAATTAATTAAATATTTTTATATTTATTCAAATGAATTTTATAAAAATCTTTAAAAATAATTAAATTTTTCGATTAATTAATGTAAAATAGTATTAAAAATAATTGAAATTATTCGATGAGTTTTATTATTTAAGAAAATAATTTAATTCTTGTTTAGAAATTTATCACAAATTTTTTTTTAAAATTGAATTTCTATGAAAAATGTTGTTATTAGTGTAAGTAATTGAATTGATGCATTTTCATTGTGTATAAATTTATTTCATTGAATTTGAAAATTGAAAATGTTTTAAAATCACACTATTCGTCAATACTTATACGTGAGAATCCACGCGTATCCCCTTTTAGAAGCCGTCCCCTCAATTGTATAAAAATTTTGATAAATAATTGATTTTTTTTAAAAATTTTATTAAAATAATAGATATTGAAAATGATCGAATTGTGGAAAATTTTTTTAAATAATTGAAATTTTACCAATAATTTTATTATATTAATTAATGTATATTAATTATAAATGAAGTAAAATTATATTGCTCTGCATTTTTTTCCTATTCCAATAATAATAACCTCGAGCAAAAAAATGTAATTAATTCATTGCTATGAAGTATAATTTTTGTTGTAGCGATTTGTAAAAATTAAAAAATAACAAATAAACAAATAATTGACAGGTATTTAGTAATCAATAGGGGAATTTAATTTTACAGAACAGAATACGTGTAAATAATAAAAGAAGAAATTTTTTATAATCGATACATATATTTAAACAGTATTTACGTCAATAGATTATTTTTACAATACTTTTTCTCTCACTCTCTTTCGCTCTCACACTTTCTCTCTCTCTTTTATTTCATTTCATAAAACTCATCTCTACATTATGGTACGTTATCGATTATGAATATTATTTACAAATGCAATCCAATTTCCGTTCTATAACTGTATGATAATCAGTTACGTTCACCACTTTGATGGACATATGGAGCACTTGGAACGAACATAATAATAATTATCAATATTTTAATATTTATACGATGATTTTCAATTAATCTAAAAATTAAAAAATTTTAATATTTGCGAACTTTGATTTGAAAATGATAACAATTTATTATTTAACACGACGTCTCTCTTTATGTCCAACAGAGTAATGATTATAAACATTCGATTACATTTTTTTTTCTTCGTGAGATTCATTTTATTTCTTTTTTGAGATTCGTTTTCTGAGATTCATCTTTCTTTGGGTGAAATTAATTTTTCTTTTGATAAGATTTTATAATGAATCTTGGAGCGCGTATTAAAAAATTTTTTTATTGACGAATTTAAAATTATAGGAGATAAGAACACAATTTTCGGTTTGATTTTATACAGTCTGATTTTTTTTTTTTTTTTTTAAGAACACTGTTTTGTTCAAACTGGTAATATAGTGTTTTGTGACATTTTTATTATTTAATTTTGTTTCTATTTTCTATTTACAATCAGTGCTTGATTAAAAAAAATTTGTCATCGCAATTTAATGAAATATCACTATTGGAGTGAAGCAAAGTTTTTCTTTCTGTTTTTCATTCGAAAAAGAATTGGAAATATTTTACGTTTACTTTTTTCTCTTTTAAGTCATCGAGCTTGAAACTGTAAATTTTTTAAGGCAAAAATTTGAAGAGAAAAATTTTTTTGTTCTAAAATATTGAGATGTAAATATAAAGAACGACGGTAGGAATTGGTGGAAGCGTCAGGTAGATAGAAAGAGACAGTGTACTTAACGTCCCCTCTTTTTTCTCTCTCTAGCGACGCGTGCGCTTGCGCCACTATTTTCCACCAATGAGAGAGGCGCAAGCGCAGTCGCTTCTCGTGACGCGCATGCGCTGAGAAACAAAGACGAAACGAGGGGACGTTACGACCTCTATCTGTCTCTTTCTATCAACTTGATTTACTGTCGAAAATATTCGAAATTATCAACAAATTCAGAATTATTATTTATTTATTAAATAAAATCTCTTTACCACTTGGAACAGAACAGTGTTTCTTTTTTGTTTTCTGTACATTAATTTATATTTTATATATATTTATAAATATATTTATATGTATAAATTATATTAAATTTAAACAGACTTAAAATGTTAAAGCGTTTCGCTTGAAGTTGATTTTTTTTCCACGTTTTTTTCGTCTATAGAACTTTTTTTGTTTTCATTTCTCTTGAGCCATTGAATAATATATATTTATAATTCTGTACATGAGGCTCATTAGTTGTGATATTCTTTATGTACAAAGATTCAATAATCTTAAAATTTTACCTACGAGTATTATCATGCTCTGGCGAAAGGTGTAAGAGCTCGTTTCTCACACCCATTTTTTTTCTTTTTTTTTTATTAACACTTCGTGATATACGACGTAGTCACATTTCAGAGAATATATTTATATCCACACTCAACAGAAACAATATTTTTAAAACAAAAACAATTAATAATAATAAATCAGTGAACATCACTGACTATAATAATTATTATCATAGAATTATATAATTAATTATTACACACGGAAAAAAATTTTTAGTTGTTTCAAATTAATTCCTTTGTTATTTTAGAGAAACTTACGGATGTAGGCTTTTTCCGTGTATATTACGTAATTATAATAGTAACAAAAATTTATACTAAAAAATATTCAACAATTTTTTTTTCTCGTCAATATTCTATCTTTTTTCTACAACTCTTTTTAAAACAGTCAAAAAATTCTTTTTTTTTTGCTAAAATCGTGTTAAATTTACATTTTAGTGTTTGTGAAATAATATAACAGGTTTTCTTACAAAAAGTATTTTTCTTAATGCTAAAATTTTCAAATCGATCACCTTAGGTAATTTTACACTCATACCTGTACAAATTTTTTTTTCAGGGATTCTCGACTGTAAATTTTACTATAATTTGTAATTTAAATAAAGTGAGAATCCACGTTTGGGAATTTCGTTGATATCAACACTTATAGTTCAGTTTTACTCACACAGATTTGTCACTGATTTCGAGAGTGTTTTTTATCCAACCACTTTTTTTTAAGTCCATATCTTTAAATTTTTGATGTTGAAAATTTGAAATTCGATTTTATTTTAGAAAAACTTGAAGATTTTTTCAACTTTTCTTTGTAAATATATATAATTAGGTAACTTTCTTGGAATTTGCGTATTATCGCAGGGAGACTGCTCACCTCAGTAAATTTGCCACTAAGAGGGTTAAAGTTGCTAGAAGGATTGTTGGAGCCACACCACAACTACCGCCATGCTGCATTGCTGCTGGATGCTCACCTGTAATCACAAAATGGCACCATTAATAATTCCCAATAGACATTCGAGCCATTAAAGATGAATTATTACTCTAATAAAATTTCCCCGTTACAAATACACATACGAGAGAGTCGCACACTGTTATTTTTTTCTTTCTTTCCGAATAACTCTAAAATTTTTTTTCTATATTTATTCATTCAATTTTTATTTCCTTTTATTTTATTTTTTTTTTTTTGATGTATTATCGTGCAAAAAAAGACAGAAATTTGTCATATTTTTTCATTTGCTGTTAACTTTTTAATGACTTATAAAAAAAATGAAAAAAAAAAAAAAAATTGTTGGAAATTTTTTCAGGAAAGAATAAATACTTTTTAATGTTCTCGCGCGACTCGCATTTCACATGTAAAATTTCATAAAATCCAGCAACTTATTTCCATAAATGCGCACATTTTTTCTCTGCATATTGCGAGAAATTAAATTGGAACAATAAAGAAAAGTGGGTGTGTTATATATGTGCGGTAGAATTTAATTTAAATAAAAGCTTTAAATTCTTAAAGTTTCATTTAGGGGGAGAAAGAGAGCCCTTCTTGTAAAATTTAATTGACATTAATATTGTAATTTTATTTATTTCTTTGGAAGAAAATATAATAAATTTGTCTAGTGGGGAAAAATTTCAAAGAAAATAAATGAGTTACAAAATTTAATAATTATTATTTTTTTTAAGACGTAAAGTAGAATAATGTGCATGTAGATTTAATAGCATTTGCCTTACAACACTTTAGAGATAAAAAAGCATTTTATTATTATAATTTTTTATTATATGAACAATGAAAAATAGAAATTTCAAGGACGACAATTTAGAAAATAAGAAAAAAAATATCGACTACTTTATTAAAAGAAAAAAGTTTTTTTAATTAATTGAGTGAATAATGCATGAAATTGAATTATTATCACGTGTAATGAATGAGAACACGTTCCTTGAGGTCGAACATTAAGAAATTCAGATCGTATAATGATTTTATGAACAGTATCAAAATGTCTATCAGTTTTATGAAACTTGTGTGTTAAAGTGTTGAAACTATCAGAGTTTATGATGCACGTGATAAAACATCTACTAAGTGTCAGGTCACTGTTTTATAATTTTATGTTATGAGATACGAGGACGTTCCATGGAACTTGTGTTTGGAAAATTCATGAGAAGAGAAAAGTGTCTTGTCAGACGAACAACATTGCATATTATATATATATCTACCCCATTCCAAACGTAAATCATCGTCAATTTTACTCCCGAATTACACCTGGTGAGTTTTTGAATATAACTCCTGCTTTCTTTAAATTTTCACAAAAATCATTTTTTATTTCTTCTCTTTCCCTCATCTACTTATTCTATTTGTCATTTTTTTAAAATGTAGGTATTTAACTTTTTTTGACAGAATAATAATTTTATGTACAAATTATTAAAATATTTTTTAATCTCTGATGAGGATAGTATAAGTTTTAATTCTCATTTACAAATTTTGAATTTAAATATTAAATTAATTATTAATTATTAATTAACTATTAACTATTATTATAGTTCCTTTAATTTATTATTATAGTTAATTAATAATTATTAATTAACAATAATTATATTAAGGGCTAATTCCACCAATCTCAATTAAAAGTTAATCAATGATTAAAGCCAGTTTAACGGCTCATGATTGGTTGATTGAAAATTTATTAATTGAATAACTTTTAATCGATATTAGTGAAACTGGTCCTAATTATAACTATTTATTATAATAATTAACTACAATAATCTAATTATTCTGTCTTTCATTCATTCATTTTGTCCGCAGTTTAAATTTAGTTTGAGTATTTGTTTAATTTTTTTTTTTATTTTAATACTTTGTTTGACAGATCGAAATTATAAAGTTTTTCTATTTGTCAATCACAATTCTTAATTGAAAATATAATTGAAAATTTTAATAGACTTTTATAAAATGAAGGTAAGAAATTTTCATAATGTTGATTTGTCAATCATAATTTTTTATTAAAAAATTTTTTATTTTTTTTTTAAGAAAAATTTGTGTGATTTCCATTATTTTTATTAACAAAATTATAATATTTTTCATAGAAATATTTTTTAGTTTTTTTTATAAAAAAAATTTGTGTAATTTCCGTTCTGTAATCACAATTTTAAATATTAGCGAAATTATAAATTTTTTGAAAGATATTTTCGTTTTAGAAATAACTGAAAAAAATTTGCATAATTCCTATTTCATAATTACAATTTTTATATATAAAATTAAGTTTTCCTTTTTGAAAAAGAAAAAAACTTTGTGTAATTTCTGTTCTTAGTCAAAATTTTTAACGGAATTATAATTTTTTTTTGGAAATGAATTAAAAAAAATTGTACGATTTTGTTTTTTTTTAAAAGAAGAAAAAATAAATAAAATTTGCACAATTTCTATTTCTTCAGCGCCATTTTTTAATATAAATCTCAAGTATATTTATTTAAAAAGATAGTTAAAAAATTTGTATAGCTTCTATTATTTAATTTTAATTTGTCAAAATTAAAGTTATTATTATTGTTTTTAGACAATTTTTAGTATTTTTATGCCTAATTTGAAATAAAGTATAGTTTATAAATATATTTAGAAAATAGAAAATCAGCAAATCTTTTTCTTAATTTTTAATGAAAACTTTGAATAATGTTAAAAAATTGGCATTAAGAAAGAGAAATTATGCAAATTTTCTTTCAATTTTTTTTCTATAAAAAATGAAAATTTTGTCAGACAAATCAAAATTTATTAACATTATATATAATATTAATAATTAATAATAATAATAATAATAATCTTTCTCTTTTATTTTATAAACAAATTCGCCTAAAAATTTATTTTATTTGTTTTATTTGAATTTCCAAATTTTTTAAAATAGTAATAAAAAAAATAAATTGAATTTTAACTAATTAGTAGCCAATACAAGTTAAAAAGTGATTACAGTGAGATTGAAACGAAAATAAATTATATTAAACGAATTAAAATTAAACGCAAAACACTCAATTGCATTAAAAATATATTTAAATGTTATTCCAATGAAAATAAATTCTAAAATTGAGTAGAAATTTAATTTGAAAAAAATCCTGGATTAAATAAAATTCAAAATTCAAATAAAATACTAAATAAACACTAACTAAAGAAAAACTAATAATACTAAATAAATACTGAAAAATAATAAAAATACTAAATAATTAGCGAAATTAAAAACAATCAAAATAATAGAGTTAATATTTAATAATTACATTAATATTGCTTATGTTTGTATTTATTTGGTATAATTAATTAGTTTAATTTAATTAATTATTTTAACTTACTAAATGAATTATTTTAATTTGAAATTTAAATTATTTAACACCTTCACTGTTCGAAAAAAATGTATCATGATTGTCCAAAAATGATATTTTTAATTAATTGATATTATTACAATTTTTATTAAAATAATTAATAATAAATGTTTATGGCTGAATAATTATAAATGTTTATAATATTTGTTGTTAATATTATAATCTTTATGATAATTAATTATGAAGGGTTATAAATGTCTATCGTTAAATAATTAAAAATGTTTACAATATTTGTTATAATTGTTGTTAATATTACAATTTACACTTATAGTTAATTTTTTATAAACAAATCAATCATATTGTTACTAACAATTAAATTATTATAAACAATTAGATTTCTATTAACAATTAAAATGCTACTAACAATTAAATTATTATAAACAATTAGATTTCTATTAACAATTAAAGTGCTACTAACAATTAAATTATTATAAACAATTAGATTTCTATTAACAATTAAAGTGCTACTAACAATTAAATTATTATAAACAATTAGATTTCTATTAACAATTAAAGTGCTACTAACAATTAAATTGTTACTAACAATTAAATTATTATAAACAATCATATTGTTACTAACAATTAAATTGTTATAAACAATTAGATTTCTATTAACAATTAAAGTGCTACTAACAATTAAATTGTTACTAACAATTAAATTATTATAAACAATCATATTGTTACTAACAATTAAATTGTTATCAACAATTAGATTTCTATTAACAATTAGATAATTTATGTTAATTTAATTATATTATTCCTAGTAAGGTTACTCGAACATTCTGGTGGGAAATTTAAAATTAATCGAAACAAGAAAGTGAAAAACAAGGGAAAAATACTTCTCGGACTAATATTTAAATAAAATTAATAACTTATTCGAATTAATAATAATAATTTTAATATTTATAATAATAATAATAATAATAATAATAATAATAATAATAATAATAATTAAAATATGAATTAAAAGTCTTGACAGTAGTGGAAAATTGACAAACATCGACAAATATTTTGAAAATTAGAAACTTATAGAAAGTCGTTTTGTTATATTTGGATGTAAGTTATCTCGTAGAGATTTTCTTTGGCATCGACAAAGAAAAAGTTGCGTAATAAATAATAATGATAAACACGAGAGTATTTTGGCGTATTTTTGGGGGAAAAAAAAGGACAAGTTGCGAGTAACTGCCGCAATTTACGATTAAATTGAAAATACTATTATGCTCTCGTTTACGTGACCGTTATCGAAAAATGGCACGAGGCAATTCGTAATCGTGTTAATGCTCACAGATTCAACGTTGTGCACGCTGAAATAACCGGGCGTGTGCAGGGGTTTATCGGGAAATAATTGAAATTTGCGGTCAATTCTGCAGGTAATCAGCTGTTTGAAATAACGTCGATGGCAAATGTGGCTGTGAGCCCTATAGCTGTAAATTAATTATGCAGACGAACTGCGCTGCATTAATTTTCATTTGACTCAGGTAGGCAGAAGATAGAGTGGGATTTGTTATAATAATTATGTTCCAACAAGTTGTCAAAATAATTCACTCTTTCCGCAATATTCGGTCCTTTTGTTTCGATGAAATACATGCATGTGAGCAAGCGCTACTGTTTTACGACATGAAAAAGAAAAAAA